CGGGAAGGGAACTCCGAACGGTTAAAAATATAAAATTAAAATACATCAAATAAAAACTAAAACCACGAAAGTTCCTGTCCCGTGCGCTGCCCCCTGGGGCCGCGGCCCGGAACGGCCGGGCTGTGAGCATCGTTAGCCCTCAGGGGTTGGATGAGGGGCCCGTGGCGGGAGCTCACTGGGGCTGTGGTGCGCTGGTACCGGGAATACAGCCGAAAATACAACGGCAAAGAAAAGGTGTGTGTTTTCCCGGGAGGTAAAAAACGTAAGTTTCAGTGTGTTTTTTGACGCGGTAAACGTTGCCTGGTTTTCAGGTTGATTTTTTTTTTTTAGTGTGTGCTGTTTGGCTCGTGCGCCTAAAATACTTAAGCTTATACTTTGCTATCACCCAGTGAGACTTTTATCTAAATAAATTCCGCATTGTTTTGAGGGTTTGCAGTGCTGGTGATGAAGGGGAGCGCGATGAAGTATTTAGTCTAAAAACTGGTACTCTGTTTTGAGTAATGTACAATGGTTTTAAAACTTTTTACTTTTATATTCCCACTGAAGTTAATGTAATACGGGAGTTTGCTGTTTAAAAAACCCCAAAGTTATAGTAGCCTGAATTTTTTTTATTTTTTTTTCAAAGAGTCATCTGTGGATGACTTGGGGATCAGGGAATAAAAGTGGAGACCATCTGTTTCACCAGAGCAGTAGTATTTGTCTAAGAGAAAATATGAAATAGTAACTTGCTCAGATGAGCATCATGTTGTCAGCATTTAAGCTTCTTCCTCTCCTGTTTACTCCCTGTCTGACTCATTGGACATCATGTGCCTTGAAATTGTTATGATACATTATCCTTCCATGTGTGTCATAATAGCTGTCTGCAATCCAGAGCACCCAGGTGAAATCACAGCACAGTGAGCAGCCAGAGCAGCAGTGGGGAGAGCTGCCACCTCCAGCTGGAGTGAGAGGGTGGGGGAATAGAGATTATTATTATGTATCCCCATCCCTCCTCATAAGTAACTGAGCTGTAGAGCTTTAGACAAAAATGTCTCAGTGAAAAGAGGGTTGTTTTCCTTGCTACAAAAAAAAGCTCCTGCAGGGCTTTGCACTTCCCTTTGCTGAAGTTCATGGGGTTCCTGTTGAGGTCCCACTGGAGTTTCAGCCACTCATCCCAGGCTGGTGACATCAGCAGATGTGGTGAGGGTACCCTGGCACATCATCTAGATTGGTAATGAAGATGTTAAAAAGGACTGGACAGTCCTGACCCTGGGATACACCACTAGTGCCTGACCTCCAGCAAACCCAAAGAGCATCAAACTTAGAGAGGCTTGGGATCCTTTGTAGAAAGATTAAATGATGGGCAGTGTAGATTTAAAAAAAAAAATAGCCTGTTTATATAATTTATTTTTTTATTATTTCAAGCAAGGCTTTCTGATTGCTTCTTTTATTTGTTTATATTTGTACTTGTTCACAAGCTGATATTGGAAAATTTTAACAGCTATTTGTAACCATAATACCATGTTCCAATAGGACTGTATAACTCTAGTTGGGACCTTGACATAAAGTCAAAAAGTTTTGTTTGACTTAAAACTTTTATCTTGTTTTAAGAGAAATCTCTTGGTTTGGGTTTTTTTAAAGTGTGTGTGTGTAACACTGAGTCCCAGATTTGGAAGGAAGAGTTGTAGAAAGTTGACTGTTTCTAATGGTGTTGTTCCTTCTCACTTTGACCTTTTCCACACTTATTCTGGTAGCACTGTAAGACAAGTGGAAGAGTCTCTTTGGGCTGTAATGTACGTGCAAGATGCTGTTGACACCAAATTTGATTTTGAATTGTTAATTCACCTACAGTTGTGCAAAAGACTGTTTGTTTCATTCTTGGGTATCATATTCATATTCCTGTTCTGAGTCAGCTTTCAAAAATGTTCTACAAGAATGACCTCAGCTTTGTGTGTTCGGTGTGCTATTTTGAGTTTATTTTCATGTATTATGGTGCTGCTGGGCAACTAATGTTTTTAGCAAGGATTTGGCCCTTATTTTCATGTGTCTTTTTTTCTGCTTGTAGCAGTACATGGTAATTCTATCACCTTCTGGCCATCCCAATGATGAAATCAGAAGCTAAGGATGGAGAAGAGGAAAGCCTGCAGACAGCATTCAAAAAGCTGAGAGTTGACACAGCTGGGTGAGTAACACCACAGGGAGGCACAGACTTAACATCTTACAAATGGACTCAAAGGGAACACCCTTGCTGTGAAATTTGAGGGAATGAGGTAATTGCAAAAGGTTAGGCATAGAAAGCTTTCATTGTAGTTAAACAGACTGAAATTCACTACCTGCAGACTGCACTTCTTAAGGAATTGTAAATTATTTGATTGCTGTCAGCTTGCAGCGTGGTTGAAAGAAACCTCACAATCATGATCAGCTGACAATGTGCTTGAAATGAATTTTGGCATGAATCTGGCTGCCAGAGGTTACCAGTACTAAAGTCCATAGAACTAGGAGTCCCCTGTCAAAGTTAGTGTATTGCCATGGCACTGAAGGCCTGTCATGAGAATAAAATCACATCTTTTCCCAGGAGAGAAACTTTCTTTCCATGTCAGTAAGGAAGAGCGTTAGATTCAGTGCATCGTTCCCACACAAACTATTTTCACTGCTGTCACAAAATTTCTATTTATAACCAAAATCACTAAATGGGAAAGAATGCTTTTTGTGTTGTCTTGGTTTGTGGAGATCTGACACGTGCCACTACACTCTCCCAGGTGGCAGAACACAAGCATCATGTGTTTTCTGTTGGTAATGATAATTTTTACCTGAAATTAAATAAAGGAAGGCTTCCATATAATGTTTTTTTTATCTGGTTACCATCTTGATGCTGCCTTACCTGGAATTACCACAGAGCTGAGATTGTGAATAGATGAGCTTCTAAAGTTACCTTTTGTTTAAGTAATTAAACTCATTAGTAATGAATTATCTCTCATTTCTTCAGTATGTCTAGTACCATCCTCCAGCTGGGCATATTTGATTACTTCGGAGTTTTTACTGGTGGCTTTTGATACCATGTTCTGTATTCATTGTCCTTTAAATGGAAATTAGTTTGATTAATAGTTTGGATTCTCTTAACCCCACCCTAGATCAGTGTCAGGGGACTCACTTTCCCTTTTCAGGGAATCTGTCCTGTTTACAAACTAATTTAACATAGCATTTGGAAAACAATTTCCTTGGGATTTCCACTATAATAAGTGAAGTCGCAACTTGAAAGAATTGTTCTTGGGTTATTGCAAGTCCTTCAAAATGAGAATATGGGATGAATTTACAGCACCAGAAAGTTAAGTAAATCTCCTAAGGCTCCTGCCTTGAATAGAAGTTGAAGGTCTGACACAATTCTGTGTCTCTCAAATGATTCAAATTGCAGGAGTATGAAGAGTTTTAGCTTATGTTAACAGGCTATGTTAGACAGAAGCTTAAGTGTTCTTCAGCTAAACAAAGTCTATTTATGTCCAAAGAACATTTATTTTTAGGAAAGAATGGCTTATTTGTCTCTGGAAAAAGAGATGTATTTCTTCAGTGGTGGTGTTTCTGCCCTCCCCTCTCCTGGGAAGCTGAAATTTGGCCATTGTGTGTGTTTGCCACTGACACACGGGGCTGGCTCTGCAGTGGAGCTGTGAACGGCATCTCTCGGTCAAAGGGTCTGTTATACAAACCTTGGAGATAGGAGCGTGTCAACACTCATCCTTCTGATGTGGGTCCTTGTGGGCAGGTCTTTTAGGACGTGTTCTAAATGATTTGGAGCAATATTTTCCGGGAAAGAAGATACACAAAGGTTTATTTTTGTAATCATAGCGTTAACCAGTGTAGGCTGTTAACTCTTCATTTTGTCTCTCACAGATGTACCTCTTCTCTCTCTGTGGGTGATGGGACAAGTCCCAGAGCAATAGTTAGAGCAGTGGCAGATGAGACCAAACCTAAGAATGTGTGTGCTTCTAAGGAAACCTGGCATGGGTAAGAGAAGCTTGAGATTATCAGACTATTTTAAATGATACTGCATTGAAAAGGAATGTTAAGTAGACTGTTTCTGGGTGGTGCCCCTCTAAACAAAGGACCTGAATTATCTTTACCAAGGAACTTTCTAAAATACACCACCTTTTTCTCTTCATATATGACTGCTATTCTTTACAGTTACATGAAATGAAAGGAAATGCTGGTCACCTGTATGTGGCTAAATGTTATAGATATTTCTCAATGCAAATGTGAGCTGCTGGTTTTGAATTAGACAGTCATTAATGCATCTCTTTCAGTCGTTTTTTTGATACTGCAGAAACTGTCATTGTACCTTGGGAACTAGATTAAAATAAAGAATTGGTTTCTAGAGTATCTCTGCAGAACTTCATGCTCATCTGAAACAAAACTGTCCTTTGCCCTTGAATCATTAGTTTTGTCCTCTTTTCTTGTGCTTTGTCCTTCTTGTAGAGATTGTTTTGCCATGTTTCATGTGCTTTACTCATTTTCTGAGCTTTAAAGCCCACTCTCTGAGATGCATTTCTGTGGTGTTCCTTTTATATTGTATACAACTGCTTGTCTAGAGCAAAGTCAAATTCCAAGGCAGTATACCCTGAGCAAATACTCCAAACCTAAAGCTCGTGCATGCAATATAAATGCAGGAGAGATTTTTCCCAGTGTTACTTATAACTCAGCAATAAGTATTTTGGTGAATCTTCATTCTCTTTGTGTCTTTTCCTGGCAGGTCTATGAAGAAGCCTTCGAGAGGAGTTGTGAGAACTCAGCGTCGCAGACGTTCCAAGTCTCCAATCCTTCATCCTCCAAAGTTTATCCACTGCAGCACAAAATCAAACTCCACATGCAGCCAGCTGGTGCAGAAGAGCCAGGCTGATGCCCAGGAGGACAGCAGTGGGTTTGGGATGGCAGTCCCAAAGGAAGCTTGTGCACACGAATGCTGCAGCGTCGCTCCGGACGCTGGCCAGAAGGGAGCTGATGAGTCTTTGGCAGTTCCTTTTGCACAGTTGACATCGGAGAACACACAGGAGAACTCTCCAGCTGCAGCTTCTCCAATATCCAAAACAAGCCTAAAGACTAGAGAGCTTTCTGACTTCCAGTCTATGTCCAAGCTGAACGCGAGTGAGCCGTGTGCATGTGCAGATAAAGCCTGTCAGTGCAAACTGTGGCAAGATATGGAAGTGTACAAATTCTCTGGCTTGCAGAACACCCTCCCGCTGACACCCGATAGAACGGTTTCTGAGGATCACTCCCAGCCTTTGCCATCAAGAACTCCCTCAACTTCTCCACGCTCTTGCTCTGAGCAAGCCAGGGCCTTTGTGGATGATGTGACAATTGAAGATCTTTCAGGATACATGGAGTATTACTTGTATATTCCAAAGAAAATGTCTCACATGGCAGAAATGATGTACACCTGACAGCAACGAGCACTAAAACCAGGAGGATGGCTGGTTTAAATCTGCCCTCAGGCACGTGATGTGAATATGCAACCCACTCCCTGCTCACTGTGCTTGCAATAAAAACACTTCTTTGCATCTCAGCTGATGTTGATTATTTAAGCTGGACAACCAATTTAGTTTCAGGATTATAATTTAAGCTTGGAGTAAATAATGTGGTAAATGAACCTAGAGCATACCTCCCAGTACTTAGGAGACCCAACACTTAATTCTACTTTGTTTCCAAAATCCCCTTTCTGCTTTGGTGGAGGGGAGTTCCTAGATTGTTTGATGATCAGAGCTCTTCTTGTGAGACACCTGGTGTCATTCTGCTCCTTTGAAACCACTTTGACCTCAGGTTGTAAGACTCAGGCTTGTGCTTTTGGATACTTGTGCCTCTGATTTTATTTCATAAAGGAGCCAGAAAGTCGAGGTACTGCAAATAATAAAGACAAACCAAACACAACTTTTCTCACCCTCAACAAATAATATTATTTGATGGGATACTCTTTTTCAAGACACTCAGAAAAGAGACACTGTGCTGATGCACACTATGTGCTCAAGATTTCCCTACAGCTGACAACTGTTCACTCCAATCTCTGGTTTTTAATGCCTGTAGGAAGGGTAATACTTGGTCCTATAGAGCAGGCTAATAAAGAAGCTAAAAAAGCCTCAAAACTGACAGTGTATGAATAAAGACCAATGAAACAAGGAAATTCTGGTTTGGTCTCCATAACAAATACAGTGAGCAGAGCCCATGCCCTCACTTTCCTTTGGTTAACCACAGCAGCAACTCCCCTCAAGAATGTAGGGTGTTTCTCTTGCAGACAAGTCTCTAAGGCCTGTTGGAAATTCAATAAAAGGTTTGCTTTCCACTTTTCCAGTAATAGTACCTTTTATGAGTGTCTAGCAAAGGAGCAGCTGATCAAATAATAGAATTTGTTGAGGGGGAGAAAAGTTGTGTTTGGTTTGTTTTTACTATTTGCATCACCTCAACTTTCTGACATGTAAGATGTGGAGAAGAAATGGAGACAAACATTTTCCTGCAAAATCATTTGGTGTTACTCTTGGGGCTTTTTTGCAATTTCTGTAGCAGCACCTGGTGTCTTAGAACAAGTGGCCATGTAAGTTTACTTGTTTTGCCAGTTCTGAAGTGTCACCTACACTGTGCAGAACGTACCTGGGTACCTCCCACACCTCTTTCTGTGCTCTCTATTTCTGTGTTCTGAATTCAAGGCAGTGTTTTGGCAGCTGTTGTCTACAAAACTGGGCTACAAAGTGCAGCATGACTTTATTTCTCAAATAATTATTCTTAACTGTTCTCAAATGCAAATTCCAACCACAGCACCGTTGTGGGTCTGAAAGTGCCTTTCAAGACAGCACTGCTTTTACCATTTCATTCATTAGTGACCACAGACCTGTTCTGCAGGGTTTAGGATTGCACTGTCCACTGCTCAGTGGACTGTGTTAAAGTGGATTGAAATCCAGGAGATGTAAAAATAGTAGAAAAATGAGCTGGTGCTGACTGGAAAGGGACACGAGCAGTGCCACTAGAGGTCAGTCCCAGGCTGGGGCTGGCTGCTGCAGCAGGCTCAGCCTTCGGGGAGAACGGGAGTTTTTCTGCCAAAATGAAGACAGGAGAGCAGCTCTGTGGTGCCTTTGCGCACACAGACTGTCAGTGCTTTCTGCAGTCTGTGTGGGTTTGGTGGTGGTCAACAAAAGCTCTTTAAATGCCAAAATCTGCATAAGTTATTAATGTTTAAACAAAGTGTGCAATCAGTTCACAACTGTGATGTGTAATTAGGAAAAGTTGCTAAGTAAATAATTACATAGTCCTGAACTTGGCATCCTCTTGGGACAGTTACGACATCTTTGGGCTCATAAGTGCTGGAACACCATGGAATAGAAGAACATGAGTTGCTGCAACCGCTGCCTTAACACTTTGTCTTCTGTTACCTCAAGGTGTTTTCAGATGTTTTGGATTTTGCAGAAACCATAGATCAAAACCTTCTGGTTTTGCTTTGAGAAAATGTGAATTTATGTCCCTTAATCATGCAGCAAGAACCTTGAAAACTTGCCTAAGCAGTCTAAAAACTTAGTTTAAAACAACAACAAAAAAAAATTAACTTGAGCCAATTTCAAAATCTGACTTTTTTTAAGGAAGGCTTTAGAGGGATGGTTCTGCCAAGTGGCACTTCTGAGTCATATTGGAGTCCATTACCAAAGAGCTCATTCCTTCCTGTGGCTGAATAAAAGTGAAGCCCTTTGTAATTAAATTTCTAACTTGGTCCTTCTCACCTGTGCCTGCAGGTGTTCTGTGTTTATGCTGTCCATACACAGAGCTTCTCTCACAGTTATATATTGCGTGGCTCCTCTGTACCTTTTCTTCCTACAAATGCCAATGAAGAGGTTGAAAGCAGAAAAACTGAGTCCGAACCCATCACTGTCTGTGGCAGCTTTGCCCCAGAGTTCAGTGGGGTTTTGGGATCTCCCCTGGAAGGGCTGGTAACACCCCCACATCAGCATGGTGGTCAGTAAGGGGGGGTCTTTCTTGCTGGGACAGTGTCTTTAGGAACAGGATGGGTGTGCTGTTACCTGGTCTTTCAGTCCTTGTCCTCTGCCATCCGTATTTGATGACATTATTACACACAAGGTGTGTCGCTACTCCGTGTGTCTGCGACACAGACTGAGTGTGCTGGCTGTTAAACAGAAGGAAATTTGGGAAGTTTGTTGTTTGGGAGAGGGGTAAATGGCTACTGCTGAACTTCTTTCATTACCCTAAAGCAGCTCTGCAAAGTCACTTTCGGAAGTAGCGGCGGGGCTGAGTGAGCTGCTCGCTGCACTCGGGTGGCGGCTGTGCTCTGGCTCCTTGTTCTACCCCTGCCCAATTACCCACGGTGTGAGTGACCTGGCCCCGGGCGCTCCGTCCCCGCATCCCGCGGGGCTCCGGCGGAGCGG